GCGTCATGGATCCCCTACTTCTCACAATAACAGATACATCAGAAATACTTTTTAAACCTCAAAATGGACTGAGTGAGCGCCTGAAAAGGAATAATTAGCGAAAATAGCGCAGTCATTATGGGGGGGGGGGGAAGTTTGACAGCGGAGTTCTCGCTTTGAAGTCATAATCAAACCCTACAATACAAGAATCTCCAGCTCACCAACCCTTGCGCGCTCTAAGAATCACTGAAGTAACATAGTAATAATGATATGTTGGTCACTAAGGTCCATAAAAGTCACCAAAGTACCCAGAAAAAGACCCCAGAGAACACCCATAGGAGAAACTCCTATGCACTTTCAACCAGGGCCTCTCCTTGGGGAAAGACCACTTAACCCAGTCAAGTTACCTAGATTTTCCCGAACAGTCACCAATACATATAAGACAGCTGGGCACTAGAAATTAGCCCCACAAACCTTCTTTGTGGTTCTTCAGAGCGGTTGAATGATGAATCGCCGCTCCAAGTAGTCCTAGTGGGGTTGTTCGGCTAATTATGAGCATACGGTAGGATGAGCGCAATCGAAGCTGGTCGAGTGGTGCCATTGTCCGCGAAATTCTCCCGAGAAATAACAGAACGTTGAAGAATCAACATCAGACGGACACATCTAGGGATAAATCTGGAGAAGGGATACGGTAAAGAAATATTGCGGGATTACTGTAAGGAGAAACAGCGTGAGATAGAAGCGCTAATCAAGATAAGAGAGTCAGAAGTGATTACCGGTGGATTATCACAGATAGTGGAGGAGCAGTAGAAAGCAAGCGGGATGTTCGGGCCGTAGGGGTCTTCTGGTTGATGGCGATGACTCTGGGAATGACGGTTGGCGTGCCGAGGGTCAGCGTCACGGCACATCTCGTGTCCAGCCAACAATGCACGCGACTTGAGCCACCTAGCCACATCTCTATCCCTTCAGTCATCATCCCGAGCTTCTCCGACCACTACTTCGTCCTTCATTTTCTTCTCCTTTCAGCTCGTGCACCTTGAAATTCAATAGGAAACTCGTTGCTTGTAACCGGATGGGCAATAAATCTTGCTATACCCAATTCTAATTTGTTCTCCCTGAATTTTTCTCTTCCTTTATCGATTCTTTCCCCGAATTTTTGTCCTTGTGTGCTCTTGAAAATCCATCCCATGGCCTCAGAAGTTTCCAACTTCCCGAAGCTCATCAAATGTGAACATAGATAAGAAAAAGTCCCTTTTGGGCCCCATCTGCCCCAAATGTGTCTACGTGGTTCTGGCAGAACAACTACTGTAGGGGATCTTTACCGCACGGGCAATTATCATGCACTTTTACACCTCATTGCGTTGATCGCAAATTCATCTTCCCACCTGTTGACGGCCCAGTCTGACGCCTATCCATAATTTATCCACTAAGTAGCTTCTCAGAGGAAAACAAGGCTTCTACTGGGCAAACTTGGCCACATAAGGGATCTGGTAAGTGTCAATTTTGGGAAGATAAGAACGATTTCACGGCATTCAGCAACTAAGCGAGAACTGCTATGAAACTGCTTTTCTTTCGGCGCTTAGTTGTGCAGAGAATATGGCTAAGGTTTCCCCAGAAATTATGGTGTTCTAGTAGATTGAGCAAGTTGTAACCATTTACCCAAAAAAGGTAGGAGTCGAGGTTTCTCATTATTACTAGTGACTAGTTGTCAACTTGAGGGCGGTCAAAAGTATTTTCAAAAGGTTTTTCGTGCATTATTTCTTCTCGCCTGCCTTTTTCGAATACTCAAGACTTAAGGATTAAAGAGACGCCCATGTCGTTGGGGGGGGACAATCAAAACAGGGCATCTGAAAATCGCTGGTAGGTGAACACGAGGACTAAGCACAGGAGAAGGTAGAAGCGCCAAGGAGAACAAAAACTACTCACATTCCTACAGTACTCGGGATCTAGCCCCAGGCCCCTTCCCTTCCTTGAGGCTAGATTGTAGGTGAGTTGTCAACTCTTTTTGTTAAGGTGAGTTATCAACTTGAATTCCTAACAACACGGACGCGCGACGAAACTTGTCTGCCCAAAGTTCAGTATTTTTACGATTACTTGGACAAGAAAGTTTCGGCGAACACTTCTGACCGCTACCGTACTACACGCACATGTATTTCCCCATCTAGCGCTTTTGGTGAGATTACAGACCACTGGACAACCATCTTGTTTTGTAAATCTCATGCTTCCGCTCTTGGAACTGTACCTTGAAGCCTTCTGACTTACCTAAAATGAGATGTCGCTCCAGGAGCTAGTAGCCTCCTTCAGAGCTGTAAAAATAAGGTAGGGAGAGAGCTTCAAGAGTCAAATGAGACATTTTAGTATGTTTGTCAGCGATTTTCGTCGTTTTCCCTATTTACTTTTGAAATCCGAGAATATTTTGGAATATTGCTCAGTTATGTACCATAACCCTTGGCCCTTGTTATAGAAGCAATTCACATGAATAAAACGAAAAAGGGGATCTTCCCGTACTGAGTCGCCCAGAATCCATTAAGTAGCTATTGGATGTCGTTATCTGCTGACTACTATAAAATCGTTGACGACGGCTGTGCAGATGTCGCAAAGCTTCTAAAATATTCACCACTGCCGTCGGCATGGAGACCACCGTACGACCATCCAGATTCACTCGAGTGGGGCTCTTGGAAAAACTCGTTCTAAGCGCAACTGCAATCTCTCATTTCGCTGAGGAAACTGCCGAATGATGTTCTGAATATTTCAATGAAGAGCCTTGGAGGAGGATCTCATCGTAAGCGCGATAAACATGTCATTTGGAGGCAGAGCTCACCTGCTCGTCGAAAAAACTCAACGATTCCCGCGTACCGTGGGGAAAATGAGACTACAATTGGATTTTTGTCGGTCTTTCTTCGCGTTTATCCCACTATAGAGTGTTAAATACTCGTTGGGCAAGATCAGATGTTTCCAATTAAAGCAGCTTTTCGACATCTCAGAAAACAGGGTTGTGTGCAAAACTTCCGCTCCAGACTGACTCGAACCGCGCACCTCTGATAGCTCTTGAGCCAATTAAATGTGACTTGATTTGCTGTTGAACTGTCTCACTTTAATAGTTTATGTTTTACTGTTAACGAAAAAACAACTCCCCTGAAGTATGTTATTGTTTTTTTTTTATGTGGAGGTGATAGGGCAAAAGAACCAGCATATAACGTGGACTTTGCACATGAATACGCCGGTAATCAGACAGAACGTGGCGTTACTCTAGTAGAGAGGGTTGTGTGGTTTATTTAATTTTATAATGTATTGGTTTAAGCATTCACGGTGAGGGCTGAGTTTTGAAGAGTTATGATGTAAACGAAATTTTAGGCCATCTTTTCTTCGTAACCCGAGAGAGGGGAGAGGAGAGGTGCTACATTACCAAAAGCGATTTCCACAAGGTCAAATTTATCAAATATGATAAAGCATTTGCCGTTGATCAATCCCTTTTTGGGATGCGGCACGCATTCTACTTCCATTTGTACATTCGTAGTGGCATTTGAATGCGATGTGGCCTATACAATGACTTGCGGGGCCAGCCGATGTACAAGTCAGTGTTTTTATCCTCCCAGACAAGTCTGGTACCAATTAACCCCGGAGGGATGGAAGGCTTGGTTGGCCCGGGCGACTCACGACCCAGGATTTGATCCTGAACCGCTCGCGTGGTAAGCAGCCACTTGCTTCTACACCACTTCTACCCTAAAAAGGCATGTTAGAGGAATATTATCAGAAAAAACCTAACTAATACTGTTAATTCAGAAATGCCGACCAGACCGACCATTCTACGTTTCTCCTTGCATAGTTCCATTTTACATTTCTCTTTTATAAATCATTTCTGCATCATAGAACAACGAGTTTACGGTAGAAGAGGCGATGGAGCGATGCGTTACATTCTGAGCTATCCATTAGTACAACCATTCTAATTCGATTTTGATGTTGAGAGCAGATTTACTTCGAAAGAGGCTTGTGACTAGTTGCAGCACTCTGGCTCGTCGTTCCTAAGAAGCTCTTTGACATGGCGTTTTTTCCTAATCTGCTACTTGGATATTCGCCGAGAAAAAATGAGCGCTTTCATAAACGGCCAATAAAATCGAACTGAAATGCTCTAAAAATTATTTTAAATGTTGCCCTCAGATTTTCAGTTGCCATCAGATTCTTCAACCTCTATTGTCCTTATATATATTTCTTGTTTTTATAGAGATTCCGTGTTCTTGACTATGAAATGATTTTGAGAAATGGGGAAATTAGACAAAAATGCTTCTGAATAACTTGAACAATTGTTTGGGGGGGGGAAAGGCGTAGGGGAGGGGGAGTCGATGTTTAAACGCTCAGTACGTATTTAATTTCTTTTAGAGTCAGAGACCCACCAAAGCCATCAACGTCGACAAATCCGTCGAAGCGACATCGAGAACGACTAAATGGCGAATTGGAAACGGTGGCCGCTCTGTTGCCGTACGATTCGGCCACGATCAGCCGGCTGGATAAACTCAGTGTTCTACGGCTGGCCGTCAGCTTTCTCCAGGTCAAAGCACACTTCCATGGTTAGTTCGATGAGTCAAAACTAAGCGTTATCGCAAGATATTTGGGGCACTGCAGGGACAATGCATTCAAAACTGCGTGAAACACCTCCATATTGCTAAAAGCAGGACTAAGTCATGGGGGATGGAAAGATTTTAGGTTGCGTGAGCAGTTTCTATTTTCCCCTGAGATCTTCCCCCTCTTAGGTTTAGCCTTAGAGGATACCCCGTATCTTGCGATAGATCT